CAGGCTGTAATTGAACCAAAGACTAAACCAGCAACACAGGCTGTACCTGAACCAAAGCCTACACCAGCAACACAGGCTGTACCTGAACCAAAGCCTACAACAGCAACACAGGCTGTACCTGAACCAAAGCCTACACCAGCAACACAGGCTGTACCTGAACCAAAGCTTACACCAGCAACACAGGCATCCGTGGCAATCCCTTCCACAGGTATTCATTAGTCTTTTGCATATACTTCATTTTATATATTTTGTGTGGTAATATCAGAGGTATTTTGTGTAATATGCTGGTTTGTCTTCAACTTGCTCTTTAAAAATAAGCGATCCTTCTACCTTCTACGTGATCGTGTATCTGTCTGTGTTAACGTAATATGTAAAAATATACATATTCTCTGAAGGTCTCGATGAAACAAAGATGCTTGAGCAGAAGAAACCAGAGCAACTTAAAGTTGACCAAGTTGCAAAACAACAGCCAGTTCCTTCTGTTCCAATTGATGCTGCCCCTCAGAAAGGTATAAATTAGGCATTCTCAAAAGGGTGATAAATCAGGCTTCGGCCCAGTATTACTTTTCTTGTTGTTACTAACATTTGTGCTGTTACTAACTAATATTCTTTAACATCGGCAATTTTTGATAACATTCTTTGATTTAAAAAAAAACTCTGAAGATCCATTTTATCTTCAACTTCAGTCTCTTTTTATCCTAATATATCTATGATATTGGGTCACTTTCCATGTCAGTTCCAGATTTGTATATGTGTTTTTTTTAGTACTTTTGTGTTTTTAAGTTTATTATTCCATTTTTCTTAGATCTGAGGCACATATTGCTTTGATATTTATACCTCTTGGATTACCTTATGTATTGTACTTTATTCTCTCTTGTCTATTCTAAACCTTTAACGTAGTTTGTTTAGCTGCAACTGAAATTGTTCAATAACTCTTAAATTTCATTCAGTGTCCTCTGTAACATCTTCCGATGCACTTTCTGAACGTGAAATGTTGATGAATTATCTGTCAATTCATCAGTCTCTCAGATCAATTGCCTGTAATTAAATGTTCTTTAAAATGCTAGAATCTCCTGCAAAACTGGAAGCAACTGAAATATCACCTGAAACAATTTCTAAAAAAGTGGAACTTGGTCCAAAGGACATACCTCCTCAAAAGTCAGAATGCACTCCAGGAAAAGGTACATAAATACAATCATAAAGAAAGCTGCAAATTATTCAAGTTACAAGTTTTGCATTTAACCTATCTGGATTGTTTGCTAAACAAACCTAATTTGAAAATTATAATTTTTGCATGTTTGTTGTTATTATACATAGTTGTATTCAGGAAAGCAACATGTCAAAATGTGCGGATTCAAACGTTTTGTTGTAGTAGCTGCGCTTTGCGCTCATCAGAGTGCTGCTTTCATGTTATTAATCCAGTCTGTATTCTATGCGTTCAAACATCTTTAAAACTTAAAACATATCTTCTTTAAAGTTCCAATGGAAGCAAAGAAACCAGAAACACCAAAATCAGAGGCTTTTAGAAAACCAGGTGTAAAGCCTTCAGCACAAAAGGAGGCCATTCCACAGAAAGGTAATAGCTAGAAGTTGGATGATTTTTCTTTATTTTTCTTGAATTGGTGGATTATTCATGTGCTGAATTTGTCCTATGTGTCCTATTTCTCCTGCTAAAGGTGTATCTGTCTAAATGTGTGTGATAAGAGTATATTAAGCTTTTAAACTTTACTACTAATAGCAGAGGCTGAACGATGCATTATGGTATCATAATGTAAATGTAAATCTTTCAAGTGTTTGATGAAGTAAAACAGAAAGAAGTCCTTGAGGAGAAGTTACTGGTTGTTGTACCTACAAAGGAGGCTGAAGTCACTTTAACTACAGGTAGGCTTAAGACCATACAGACATTTCTCCTGTTTTTTTTTTGTTGAATTTCTTGTTCATGTATTATATATCTCTGTGGTTGATTTTTGTCAATGTCAAGTTTTTGTTTAACATTATTCACACTGTAAATTATTTAAGGAAATTGTTACAATTGGCATTTTTTTCAAGGAAACAAACTTTTCAACTATACATAGCATAATAGTAAAAGACACATTCATGTGTATATTTCGATATTGCATACCGTGGCCACATGCAGATAAGTTAAATGTATTCATTTTTTTTTCATATAAAAAAAGAATAACAACAACAGTAACAACCAAAATATGATGATGATAGTAACCACTATAGGAACATAATTTAATAATTTTAACGTTTAAGAACTTATTTTACAATTAACTTATTCTACAATAATTTATATCTTAGAAGACATCTTTTTTTTTTTTGCAAAATAAAATATTTTTTTTAGTTTACCTGAAAATGCATCCCTATTAGTATTTTTGCAAATGCAGAATTATTTCTTTGAGCTAAAGGTGTATCAGAACCTGCAGCTACAAAAGCACCCACAGGCTTGCCTTCAATATCTGTCTGTGTCAAGTCCATAAATATATTCTCCTTTTTTGAGGTATAAAGGTGAACATGCTATTCTTAAATGTGTGCTGTACATAGCATGCTTTCCCTATCACATGTGGTCCATGTTACGTTTCCATGTTGCTTCTTAAAGTGGTGGAGGTTCCCAGAAAGCTTGAGGTGGCTCCATCTTCTCTGATTCAAAAGTGGGAGGAGATCTCATATGAAATTGAGGAGACCTCTCACACAGAAGAAATGTATCTTCATGAAAGGGTGTATGAGAGTGCCCAGCAATTCTTTGAGGAAAAAGAGATACTTATTGTAGAAGATGTATCACCTGCTTCAAGAGAAGAAATTAGTTTGAAGACAGAAGAAATCCCTAGGCAGAAAGAAACCCTACAAGAAACTG